ATCCATTGAACTTGTGGGTTTTTGGACAGTTTCTGCTTGAATTTGTTTGCAAGATGTCAGAATAGCCTCCCAGAGCTGCTGTTTGGATGTAAACTGCCTCCCACCCTCATAGATCTTTTGCTTGAGGATGCTCCAAAGGTTCTCAATAGGATTGAGGTCAGGGGAGGATGGAGGCCACACCATGACTTTCTCTCCTTTTATCCCCATAGCAGCCATTGATGCAGAGGTATACTTTGCTGCATGAGATGGTGCATTGTCATGCATGAAGATGATTTTATTACGGAAAGCATAGTACTTCCTTCTGTACCAGGGAAGAAAGTGGTCAGTCAGAAACTCCACATACTTTGCAGAGGTTATCTTTACACCTTCGGGGACCCTAAACGGGCCGACCAGCTCTCTTCCCATGATTCCGGCTCAAAACATGACTCCACCACCACCTTGCTGACATTGCAGCCTTGTTGGAACAGGGTAGCTGTCCACCAACCATCCACTACTCCATCCATCTTGACCATCCAGGGTTGCACGGCACTCATCAGTGAACAGGACTGTTTGAAAATTAGTCTTCATGTATTTTTCTGCCCAATGCAGCTGTTTCTGCCTCAATGTGCCTTTATCTGCACGAACCCGTCTGTACTCTGAATCAGCCACAAATCTCTTAATAGTGCGATGATCACACTTAAGTTTTCGTGAAATATCTAATGTTTTCATACCTCGTCCAAGGCATTGAACTATTTCACTCTTTTTGGCAGCAGAGAGATCCTTTTTCTTCCCCATATTGCATAAAAATGGTGCTCTGCTTAATAATATGGAACACCCTCCTTTAGTAGTTTTTCCTTAAATTGGGCTCACCTGGCAATCTAATTATCACAGGTGTCCGAGATTGTTTTCAGTAATCAAAAGAGCCCTGAGACACAATGCCATCCATGAGTTAAACTGAAAAACAAAATATTTAATCTTTGTGACACTTAAATAGAATTTGCATAATAATTTGGAACAGGGTGTAGATGGGGGCTGGGGTTGACATTAGGTTCCCCTCTTTCTTTTAATCAAAACCTTCACCCACTGGCCATGGATGTAGGCAGAGGTGGGCACTAAGCTCCCCCACCCTTTATTATTTAATTAGTTGGTGGGGGCACTGCTGGCCATGGGGGGTGGCATATTTAATCCCCATTATTATTTAATCTTCCCACCATCACCCCTTATTGTGTATTTTGCAGCCCCAACCCAATGCCTAGGTCCCCCTGTAAGTTAATAGCGACTGGGCAAGTATAGATTCCCAGTCACTTGTTTTTATTACAGGAAGCGGTGCTGTTTAGCGGACATGACCCCACTCAGGGAGTTATGCATGGGGGGATGATGGAGGTAATAAAACTCTCTTATAGTAATGTGGGGATCATACTGAACCCCACATACTTTTCTTAACTATTTATGCACTGGCTGTTACTTCTGCCAGTGGCCAAACCATCAAAAAAAGCATTTATCAACAGCTTGTTGCAGTCAAAGTTTTCAAGGCCATCTATCAAGGATTATGCCTTTGATAAATTGCATTGAATCGCGAAAGCCAATATTTTCAATGCTAAGTATAATATCGATTTCAATATTTTTGGGAATTTGATATTATTCAAACCAATATTTATTAGCTCCTTATAAGCCTTTAATGACGGTAATGTGTAATCAATTGGAACCAATAAGAGGCTTTTCAGGAGCTGATAAATATTATCAGATGGAGAGTCATCAAGACATTAATGCCTTACCATTTGAACATAACAGCAAAATATTAAAGCTATTCAGTAAAGATATCGTATACAAATCCCAGGAGACAGATTGTATTTGTCCATGGTACTTAGGGAGGTGATTTTGTGCTTACATGAAATAAGGTATCAATGTTTCAGTCTGCATTTTACAGACCTCTGAACCTTATGTTCATTCACAGAAAAAAGTGTCACTTTGTAAATTGATCATAGAATATCACATATAACTTGGGTTAACCTTATTTTCATTAAATGCCCTGCTTTTTAAATCTGTATGAAAGATTTAGCAGGAGCTTCCAGCAGGGCCGCCATCAGAAAATTTGGGGCCCATGACAAAGCACAAGGTCTGGCCCCCCCCCCTCCTCGCGGGCCCGCCCACGCCCTACCTAGTCTGCTCACAATGATGCAGGACTGAATGTGGTGTGTGTATAGTGGAAGTGAATTAGAATGTGTGTAATGGATGTAGTGTTTGTGTGTATTAGATACTGTTTGTGCAATGAATGCAGAGTGTGTGTTTGTGTATCGGATGCAGTGTGTATAGTGAACGCAGAGTGTTTTTGAGTAGTGGATGTAGTGTGTGTACAGTGATGTAGTGTGTGTTTGTGTAGTGGATGTAGTGTTTGTATGTACTAGATGAAATGTGTTTAGTGGAGGCAGTGTCTGTAGTGTGTGTATCAGACGCAGTGTCTGTGTATAGTGAATGCAGAGTGTTTCAATTTGTGGTGGATGTAGTGTGTGTACTGTGAATACAGGATGTTTGTGTAGTGGATGCTGTGTGTACAGTTAATGCAGAGTGTATGTTAGTGTAGTGAATGCAGAGTGTGTGTCAGTATAGTGAATGCAGAGTGTATGTTAGTGTGTAGTGAATGCAGAGTGCGTCAGTGTAATGAATGTAGTGTGTGTGTTAGTGCAGTGAATACATAGTGTGTGTAAATTTGTAGTGAATGCAGAGAGTGTGTTAGTATGTAGCGGATGCAGAGAGTGTGTTAGTATGTAGCGGATGCAGAGTGTGTGTTAGTGTAGTGAATGCAGTGTTAATGTGTAGTGAATGCAGAGAGTGTGTTAGTGTGTAGCGGATGCAGAGTGTGTGTTAGTGTAGCGGATGCAGAGTGTGTGTTAGTGTAGCGGATGCAGAGTGTGTGTTAGTGTAGCGGATGCAGAGTGTGTGTTAGTGTAGCGGATGCAGTGTGTGTTGCGTTAGTGTATGCAGTGTGTGTTAGTGTATGCAGTGTGTGTGTGTGTTAGTGTATGCAGTGTGTTGTGTTAGTGTATGCAGTGTGTGTGTTAGTGTATGCAGTGTGTGTGTGTTGTGTTAGTGTATGCAATGTGTGTGTGTGTGTCAGTGTATGCAGTGTGTGTGTTGTGTTAGTGTATGCAGTGTGTGTGCGTTGTGTTAGTGAATGCAGTGTATGTGTGTGTCATTGTATGCAGTGTGTGTGTGTGTTAGTGTATGCAGTGTATGTGTGTGTTATTGTATGCAGTGTATGTGTGTGTTAGTGTATGCAGTGTGTGTGTGTTGTGTTAGTGTATGCAGTGTATGTGTGTGTGTTATTGTATGCAGTGTGTGTTATTGTATGCAGTGTTGTGTGTTAGTGTATGCAGTGTATGTGTGTGTTATTGTATGCAGTGTGTGTTGTTAGTGTATGCAGTGTATGTGTGTGTTGTATGCAGTGTGTGTGTGTTAGTGTATGCAGTGTGTGTGTGTGTTATTGTATGCAGTGTGTGTGTTAGTGTATGCAGTGTATGTATGCAGTGTGTGTTGTTAGTGTATGCAGTGTATGTGTGTGTTAGTGTATGCAGTGTATGTGTGTGTTAGTGTATGCAGTGTGTGTGTGTTAGTGTATGCAGTGTATGTGTGTGTTATTGTATGCAGTGTATGTGTGTGTTAGTGTATGCAGTGTATGTGTGTGTTAGTGTATGCAGTGTGTGTGTGTTATGTATGCAGTGTGTGTGTGTGTTAGTGTATGCAGTGTGTGTTGTTAGTGTGTGATCTGGGGTGAGGGGGAGGAAGGGGCATTTTAACATTAATTTTTTATTAATTTAATTAAATGTTTCTCCCCCCTCCCTGCTTACCTGTGTCCATGGAGGGGGAGATTCCATCCCTGGTGGTCCGGTGGGGGGCCCCCCGGCTCCCTGTTACCGCAGAGGGGGCCCAGGCAGCACACAGCTTCTCCTCTCTTCTCATAACTCTCGCGAGACCCGGTTACCATGGCAACGCTCCGCGGGTCTCGCGAGAGTTATGAGAAGAGAGAAGACAGGAGGAGAAGCTGTGTGCTGCCTGGCTGGGCCCCCTCTGCGGTAACAGGGAGCAGGGGGCCCGCGGCTGCACACATAGATAGCGATATGCGCTATCTATGTGTGCAGAAAGGGAAAGTGGGGCCCAGGACTGCCAGAGCAGTCCGGGCCCCCCAGGGCCGCCGGGCCCGTGACAACTGTCACGGTTGTCACCCCCTGATGGCGGCCCTGCTTCTTGTTATTATAGTAACTGGCCAGAGAGTTCCTTCTTGTTATTATAGTAATTGGCCAGGAAGTTCCTTCTTGTTATTATAGTAACTGGCTGTGAAGTTCCTTCTTGTTATTACAGTAACTGGCCGGAGAGATTCTTCTTGTTATTATAGTAACAGGCTGGAATGTTCCTTCTTGTTATTATAGTAACTGGCCAGAGAGTTCCTTCTTTTTATTATGGTAACTGGCTGGATGGTTCATTTTTGCTATTATAGTAACTGTCCGGAAAGTTCCTTCTTGTTATTATAGTAACTGGCCAGAGAGTTCCTTCTTGTTATTATAGTAATTGGCCAGGAGTTGCTTCTTGTTATTATAGTAACTGGCTGGAAAGTTCCTTCTTGTAATTATAGTAACTGGCCAGAGAGTTCCTTCTTGTTATTACAGTAACTGGCCGGAGAGTTCCTTCTTGTTATTACAGAAACAGAGCCCAGAGAGGGGGTCCCTTACTCTTACGCCGGAAAGTTCCTTCTTGTTATTATAGTAACTGGCCGGAGAGTTCCTTCTTGTTATTATAGTAACTGGCTGGAGAGTTCTTTCTTGTTATTAGTACCAGGCAAAACATACACATACAACACTAAGACTACCCTTTAAACACACAAAATTCAACCACCACACACACAACGCTCAACCAGCACACACAAACACCCTCAGGACACTCCTTCAGCTCTCCTCCTACCCCACACCATTTACAGAAACAGAGCCCAGAGAGGGGGTCCCTTACTGGCACCCTGCCTAGGCCCTGGATATTCTTTCACTGGTAGCAGTCAGTGGGCAAATAGTAAAAAAAAACTTGTCGGGTGGCAGCTGGCAAGCACTTGCTAGCCAGCCCTGCATTAAAAGTTGAAAAAAAAAACAATTAAAAAGCATAGGAGAGATAATATGACACTAATATTATAATAAGTGAGGTTGAAAACCTTCTTTATGACCCGACTTTAATCCCACAGGTAGGGTCATTTCTAATGTAGCCAGAGGCTACAGAACCAAGGAGACCTGTCGCTGGTTCTCCCCATTTCTTTACTTGTGGACGTTATGTGTGAATTTACAATTCAATAATGGGGGAGGACAGATCATTGTCCATTCCCCTGCTCCCACTTGTGACCATGAGGGGGTCTTCAGATATTTTTTAAATCTGGGCCCTGATTTTAACAATCCAAGTCTGGATTTCAGCGGTCAGTTTTTGGTGCGGCTTAAATCTGGACCAAATTCACGCTCATTCGGAACCACTTGAGCAAGATCCGCACATTGTTAAATAGTGTGAAAAATAACAGGATTTTGCAGTCCAAATGGCTGCATACAGAACAGAATGGTATTGCTTCATTCGGTACGGGACCTTTTGAACCTTGGTAAATAGACCCTCGTGTATTAATACTTGCACATGTATCAGCATAGTTATGTTTTATTATTTATATGTCCAAATATGTCAAAAAATCAAAATCCTGAAACAGATTGCGGGTTTTTAGATCAATCAGATTTTAGTATTTTTACCTGTAAAATAAATACATATGTTAAATAAATGAACAAATGTATGAACGTTGCACCTTGGATGCATTCTCAACAGTTGCGTTAGTTGCATTTTTTTCATTTTTTCTGCAAGATTATAAATGTTCTTAAAGTCTAATATTCCCTGTATCTGCAGTCATTGCTATCATTTTACAAACAGCACAGCAAGTTGCCAAGTACCGTTTGGGGGAAGACAAAAATCAATTGGCCTAAATACCTGTCGCTTCCAGCGCTAGCTGCTTTTCATCACAACCCACTTGCTCTCTCCATCCCTCTGACTTGGAAGCCAAACAAATCGCTCTTTATCTTATTAGGTGCTGAACACAACCTTTTCTTTTCAGATTTCTCATTTATTCTCGGATTTTGCTTTCACATAACAGAATATCATAGAGTAAAATTTGCACTATATGTTTCTGCTTACTTTGGATTGTTTTCCGGAACATTAGGTTTCAGAATGTTAACCCCTGACAGTAATACCAGTGACAAGTTATGTTGTCATATTGTCATGTTTTTCCATACCTATACATATGTTATGTATTTTATGGGAGATCTCTCTTTGAGAACCATTTATCCATTCCCTATATAAGTACTATTTGCACTATTCTATGCTTAATTATTGGGTTTGATCGGCTAATCTGTAGCTTTCTCCGTTAGTTATTCCTTCGACACGTCGAACGTAACATCGTTTGCATCTCCTGCGACTGTGAATATCAACTCTTGCAGTTCCTCTGTTCATTTTCTGTTTCATCATTCGATTCACCTCATCCTCTCAACTTAGTTTGGACAGATTTACCACAATTGCTCTTATTTTGGCTATTTGGTACTCTCCTTGCATTCTCCAAGCACTGGAGTCCTTGGTGAGCACTAGGAGCATCGATTGGTGGAGGCACCTGGTCGGGGTGCCAGGCGGTCCATCACAGTGGATATTCCTAATAAAGCATGTATTTACTAAATTCCAGATTGTAGAAAATTTTAATTAAAGGACCACTATAGTGCCAGGAAAACATACTCGTTTTCCTGGCACTATAGTGCCCTGATGGTGCCCCTACCCTCAGGGTCCCACTCCCGCTGGGCTCTAGGGGGAGGAAGGGGTTAAACATTTACCTTTCTCCAGCGCCGTGCTCCCTCGGTGCTGGAGACTCTCCTCCTCCTTTCCCTGTCATCGGCTGAAGCCGTGCGCATTCTGTCAGTCCATAGGAAAGCATTCTCAATGCTTTCCTATGGACGCTGGCATCTTCTCACTGTGAAAATAAGCGTGGAAGCACCTCTAGCGCCTGTCAATGAGACAGCCACTGGAGGCTGGATTAACCCTAAAGTAAACATAGCAGTTTCTCTGAAACTGCTATGTTTACAGCAGAAAGGGTTAATCCTAGATGGACCTGGCACCCAGACCACTTCATTAAGCTGAAGTGGTCTGGGTGCCTACAGTGGTCCTTTAAAATCATAAAATTCAAAATAAAAATTATCTAAGTCATCAATATTTACAGCTTTGCTCTTTTAATCAAAGATTGCCATATGTATTTTAAGGCTAGTATATACTCTAGTATAGTGCCATCATTCAGCAGTTTTTAGGAGGAACACAAATTCATGATATTTTAATAATAGGCAGACACCCAATTGTTTGTTGTTTACTGTCAGTGAAAATGTACTCATTCTCATCTTGCATGATACAAAAAGGTAAATTATCAGGCAAGGTTTGTGAGGGCTGTTTGCCAGAATACGGGAATTAAAAGCTCCTACTGGAACTGTATTTTCACCATATGTTGTTTTTATTCATCTTTCTCCTTTGTCTGCTAATGTTTATATTTACTGCCAAAATTGAGTATATTTGCAATAAAACAACTATCTATCTCAGTTAGACTTGGAGGGATGTTTTGTTCCAAACTGCAGTTCATGCAAGTTTGGGCCAATTGGGCGATCAGTTGAAGTTCTGAATTCCAAGCTGAATTCTGAACCAACAAACTCTTACAATATCAGAGCATGTTTGTTTTGATTCATGATTCTAAATTCACCCATGGTAGGAAAAAAAAATATTAATGGGAAAAGGGATGATTGATGGATAGGAGACAATCACAAAATGATGATTTTATTCACAGATCAAGTGAGAAATGAACAATGGAGGGAATAAAATCTATATTTAGGTATTATATATTTAATAAATATTTAATAAATATATAAAAAAATATTTTTGCTGCTCCTCCTGTTTTTCCCTCTCTTGGTTAATTGTTCTCACTCCTGTTTTAACCAAATGGAGGGAAAATATTCATATATACTGCAAAAGATATACATAAAATGTTTATATCTCTTGTAGTAGACTGATTGGGCCATTATTCACACTTTTGGTTCATCTGATTTGTTTTTCAAATTCTGCTAAACCACAATATGGCTGAAATTTGGCTATCCTGAAAAAGTGGTTCAGCCAAAACAAATTTTTCTCTCCATGAACACGTTTAATATTAATATGTCCAAATGTGTAAAGTTGTGTGTGAAGCTTAATTCCTTTGCTTCCTTAAAACCCTTTTTCTAACAAGTAGCAACATTTGTCTGAAACATGGAATATATGGCTAGTGAAAAAATAAAGGATGCATACAGCAATGTTATGTTAAGATTGCTGTTTAAGTATATACACACTGCTCAAAAAAAATAAAGGGTACACTTAAACAACACAATGTAACTCCAAGTCATTCACGCTTCTGTGAAATCAAACTGTCCACTTAGGAAGCAACACTGAGTGACAATAAATTCCACATGCTGTTGTGCAAATGGGATAGACAACAGGTGGAAATTATAGGCAATTAGCAAGATACTCCCAATAAAGGAGTGGTTCTGCAAGTGGTGACCACAGACCACTTCTCAGTTCCTATGCTTCCTGGCTGATGTTTTGGTCACTTTTGAATGCTGGCGGTGCTTTCACTCTAGTGGTAGCATCAGACGGAGTCTACAACCCACACAA